AATATAAACGAGCCAAACACGAGCTGAGCCTGGGCTCGCTTGTGTTCTGCTTGTTTACACCCTTATATGCAAATGAGAATTTACTTTAGTTGAAGCGTACTTTCTCGGATATTGGGCAGGATGGTATTCGTGCTAACCCAAGGAAGATTGAAGCCATTATATCGTGGCCAATTCCTAGATCTATCGCTGAAGTTTGCAATTTCCTTGGGCGGCAGCAGATTTTTTTCTTTTATTTTATTCGCGATTTCAGTACTTTAGCGGCATCATTGACTGATTGCATCAAGTTTAAACTGTCTAATTGTGGTCCTGAGCAGCTGGAAAGTCTTAACAGACAAAAAACCTGCTTCAGTTCTAAAGAAGGTGTTAATCGATCCAAGAAATCAGACCACTTCCCAACTTCATGCTGTTTTCAGGACTAAATGCACAATGGAAGGCAAAGTGTGCGCTTTTATTGTGGACAACTGTTGTACGGAGAACGTGATTTGTAAAATAATGGTGAAAGCTTTACGTCTAAAAAACTCTAAACATCCCAATTCTTCTAAATCAGTGGGTGAAGAAAAGGAGTGGATGTGTTTGTTACAGTTCTTTGCATGGTAACATTCGGAATAGGAAAAAGATTTGTTTGCGAAGTATTATGTGATTATAAAAATGGATGTTTGCCATTTGATTCTGGGAAGACCCCGACAATTTGACTTCAGGGGTGTGGTATAACGGTTATGCAAATGCATACTTTTTTGAATGGAAGAATAAGAAGTCACGTTTGCAACAATCTAAAACTTCCCATACACATACTGCCATGGTAAAGGTCGAAAAGTCTGCATATGTGATAGTTATAGGGTCTCAATAGTTGGCATACAAAGAACAGGACACTATGTTTACTATATTATTGGCTGAACAATGTTCTATCAACTCTGAGGTGGTACCCTTCAGTCCAAGTTATTTCTGAACGGTTCACAATTACTTCTGTAGAACTTAAAAAATCAACTACCTTCATTGAGAGAAATTCAACACCCCATAGATTTTATCTTGCAAATGCATACTTTTTTGAATGGAAGAATAAGAAGTCACGGTTGCAACAATCTAAAACTCCCCATACACACACTGCCATGGTAAATGTCGAAAAGTCTGCACATGTGATAGTTATAGGGTCTCAATAGTTGGCATACAAAGAACAGGATACTATGTTTACTATATTATTGGCTGAACAATATTCTATCAACTCTAAGGTGTACCCTTCAGTCCAAGTTATTCCTCAACGGTTCACAATTACTTCTGTAAAACTTAAAAAATCAAATACCTTCATTGAGAGAAATTCAACACCCTATAGATTTTATCTTGGGACCTATGCTAACATATCGAATTTGGCTATTATCATATGATCTCTAATGAACACTAAATATTGAAAGATATAATAGATGATTTATTGAGAAATAGTTCATTTGACACATTTTGATTACTTGTGCAGTGCCTGCATTAATTGTTATAAAAAAAAGGGTTCTTGGCACATGTTTATTGACAGCCAAGCTATCAATAAAAATGCTGTAAATTTTTGTTTTTCAATTCCTCGCATAGAAGATTTACCAGACAAGCTTAATGGAGTTACCATGTTCTCAAATTAGACCTGCGTGGTGCTTACCATCAAATTCACATCTGACCAGGCAATAAATGAATAATAACTTTCAAAATTGAAGAACTGTATGAATGGCAAGTGATGCCTTTTAGGCAGTGCAACACTATTGGTGTTTTCATGTGACTCATGCACGAGGTTTTAAAATCATTTCGTTGCTGCTTCTATGCTGTTTATTTCGACGATATTTTAGCGTACAACACTTCAATAGTAGAACATGCCCAACATCTTAAGTTATTGTTTACAAGATTACAAAGACAAGAAGTTGTATCTCAACCCATGCAAGTGAGTTTTTGCTTTAGTTGAAGCGCACTATCTGATTCATTGTTGGACAGGATGGTATTCTTGCTAACCCAAAGAACATTGAAGTCATACAATTGTGGCCAATTCCTAGATCTATAGCTGAAGTTTGCAGAGCAAATTTTTTCAGATGTTTTATTCGCAATTTCAGTACTGTAGCTGCTGCAGCTTTGACTGATTGCATCAAGTTTAAACTGTTTAATTGGGGTCCTGAAGAGCAGGAAGTTTTTAACAGACTGAAAAACTGCTTGACCTCAGCCTCAGTGCTGTCCATGGATACATTTCCTAGTAGAAATTGATACATCTGCCTTTGATGTTGGCGTTGTCTTGACACAAGAAGGGAAACCCATCTAGTTTTTTAGTGAGCAGCTGAGCCCTTCTCAGCAAAATGGTTCACATATGAGCAAGACCCACATGTTGTTATTTGAGCCCTGAAAAATTGGAAGAAATATTACATCAGTACTACGCACGTAAAAATAACGTGCGTAGCCAATCAAAACACGCCACGACATCTCGCGCGGTAGAGCAAAAAAAACGGCTCAGTAACACGGAGAATATTCCCTCCTGTGTTATTCATGTGTTATTGCGCGTTATTCATGTGTTATTGCGCGTTATTCATGTGTTATTGCGCGTTATTCATGTGTTATTGCGCGTTATTCATGTGTTATTGCGCGTTATTCATGTGTTATTGTATCCCTCGCGACGCAGAAAAAAAACGGCGCAATAACACGGGGAATATTCCCCCTCGTGTTATTCATGTGTTATTGTGTGTTATTCATGTGTTATTGTATCCTGGGAATATTCCTGGTGTTATAATAACACAATAACACATGAATAACACATGAATAACACACAATAACACATGAATAACACGGGGAGGAATATTTCCCGTGTTACTGCGCCGTTTTTTTTCTGCGTCGCGCGGGATATCGTGGCGTGATTTCATTGGGTACACACGTTCCTCTGCGTGCGTAGTACTGATGTAATATTTTTTCGAAAAATTGAGAGCATTTCCTATTGCATCAGGATTTTGTGCTGTATGGCAACCATCAGCCTTTACAATTGCTTCAAGCACAACAAAACTTTACTAAAATTCATGTCTGTTGAGTGTTTTTCCTTCAAAAGTTTACTTTTGTGGTGAAAGATCGTGCAGGCCGACATATTCGTGTAGTAGATGCCTTAACCTGTTGTCCTAACATATTAACTATAGTGCAAACCAAGTCACTGGAATGGAGAGTTTGCGAGATTTATATGCCGAGCACGAAGACTTAGCCATTGTATGGACCAATTGCAAGAACCACAGACCACAATGGTGACTATTCATTACAACAGGGATACCTATTTATGGGAAATCAGCTGTGCATACCAAGAACATCCCTTCGACAGATAATCAATGATTGCCACAGTGGGGGATTGGCTACTCATATAGGCATATATTGGCTACTCATAGAGATAAGACCTTACAGCTGGCACACTTCAGGTTTTATTGGCCAAAATTGAGGAGAGATGTATGCAGATTTGTGTCGAAGTATTTATCTGTCATAGGCACAAAGGGACTGGACATAACACGGGATTATACATGTCCTTGTCAATTTCTTATACCATATGGGAAGACTTGAGCATTGATTTTGTTTTAGGATTGCCCCACTCTAAGCATGGATTTGATCTGTGGTAGTGGTAATTGATCATTTTTCCATAATGGCATATTTTGTGGCCTTCACGTGGACCTTCGACATCTTAAACGCTACTAAACTATTATTTAAAGACTGTTTGATTCCACGGTATTCCTTGAAGCTTGATTTTTTACTGTGATAATAAGTTTATGAGCTCATTTTGGAGAGAGAGGTTTCAAACCGATATTTATTTACCATAAACGGATGGGTAAACAAAAGTGGTGGTGAATCACACTTAAGGAAGTATGATACATTGCATTGCAGGAGATCAAACTAAACTTTGGGACATGTTTTTGGGACTAGATGAGCCTTCAATTCTATGGTCAAAAGTTCCTCTAGTCGTTCACCCTTCAGTATAGCGTATATTAAAGCATCTAATCTTACGGTAGATATCACAATACTTCCTAGACCCAGAAGTCACAGTTTCAAGAAATGGATAGACAATTTTGATCTATGTTACACGACGTGATAGAAAAGTTGAATATCACTTGGCAACAGTTCAAGCAACAATCTGCAAAAGTCGAGCCCGAAGGTATTTGGACAGGTGATTTAGCGATGTAGTGAATCTACAAGAACATTTTCCACCAGACAAGCTCTAAATTGAAGCCTTGAATAATCATATCATTTCCAATCGAGATACACATTATTGATTGTGTTTCTCTGCCACTATATCTAAACAATCTCCTACGTTCAACCCATCAGATTTATATTCTTATCAATTTCCTGATGATAGATGAACGTTACTTTCTACACTCGAGTTTAGTTTTTCTAGAGCAGAAGGGGTTTGATGTGGCAGTTTTAATATGTATACGTTACGTTCTGTTTCGGATGCCACCTTTTTAACTCTCTGTTCTGTTTATGAAATTCTGATACTTTGCTTTTTATTTAGTCTATTTCTATCAGTCTTCTAATTTTCTTATGTGGATATTAAGCTGGTGGTTCATATCACTTAGTTATTTGCAGAGATTTATACTCTGCAGGGGATAGTGAAGTGTATTCTATTTGTTACTAAATTTTAATGAAATTGAAGAAATTGCTGTTTTTCCTTTCTGCTGTTGTGTTTTCCTTCGCAGGTTGGTTTTCTGGTTCCTACACTATATTTTGTCATTGCAAAACTTTCAGTTCTGAAAATAAACATGGTCTTAAAATATTTTAAAAAAGCACTAAATAAACATGTTCTTAAAATAAAAAGAAAAAAAAAAGCCAAAAAATGAAAGCGTTCCCAAAGAAGCCATTAATAAAAAATACTATTTTTTTTTTAAAAAAAAACAATACTAGCACCCGAGTGATTATGATTTCACAACGATCTGCATCAGGTTGCCTTGTTACAAGATAAAAATTGTATTTTTAGATTGATTCCCTAGGTTTGTTTTATTTTCTTACAAATCATTATTTGGCAGTAGCACCCCAGAAGCGCCTCCGATTCAAAACTACAGTTGATGCAACTGAAGCACAAGTTATAGAAGCAATGAAGAAAATCACGTCACATATAAAAGTTCCTTCGAAGTTTAGCAAGGCATCAAAGCTTGCTATACAACTAATTCAAGCTGGTAGTGTAAAGCCAGAAAACAGTGATTACTTCTTTGCCTTGCTGGATGCAGCAATGTCCTCTCCTACTGCTTGCAATGAACCTTTATTAAGGGCAGATTATCATGCAATGTTCTCTGCTGTTCAAGAGGTTACTCAGGTGATATTTGTCCCTAACTTTTTCAATTATTTTGCTTAATAGGATTTTTTTTTTCATATTTTGTAGTGGCGTTCGAGGAAGATCTGTTAGTTTATGCATCATTTATGGGGAATATTTTTTTCACAATGCTAGCAAGTTGTTAATTAGTTTGATTATGACAGTTGATTGCTGGTAAATGTTTGTGAATGGAATTTTTTTGTTTTAGATTCTGGTAAATACGTGTAATTAATTTTGGTTTCTTTCCAGGCTAATTTTAAGTTTCCTGCATTTTTCTGGAAAGTAGTAGTTTAATAGTTCTTGTAAGCTACTGTGGCGCTTGGTTGTGTTTGGTTATGGCTTATGATCGGAATTTTCATGTTGCAGATTTTCTTAAATTTGTTTAATTGATTTGTTTTTTTTTTCTGTTTTAAGTTTGCAATCATCTATTTTATTGCTTGCATTCACGCTTGAGGTATTTTTTTTTAACTGTGGTTACTATTATTTTTTATTTTTATTTTTGTAGTGTTTCAGTAGGCAACAGAAGAATGTTTTGGCAACGTGGATGATAAGGGCGTTGGTAGCTAATGATCTTTATACTGATGACAGCTTTGTGGTAAGACAAGTGAAATCAATCAGTGAATGTACAAATAAATGAATAAGTTATGGGTGTGCATGGTCTGGTCGTCCTCGAATCAACTTGTCAATATGCTTTACTTACTTCCGGTAGTTTTGTTGTGGTGTGGGTGTCTTTCATAAGGGCAAGTGTGGAGATGTGGCCATGTTACCTCTAGTTTATTCTAAGGTCCTATATTTGAAATACGAAAACAGTCTATCTGAAAATGCAGGAGTAAGCTTAATTATGCTACCCTTCTATAGATCTCGTGTTAGTTGGTGCTTCATGCGTTGGATACTAAGTTGGATACTAAGGGGTTGTTTGGTTGGAAATTTTTTAAATGCATGCCTTTTAGAAATTTAGTGTTATTTGAATGCATGCATTTTAGAAATGCTTGAGTTTGATTATATATAAATTGAATGCATTAAAATATTTTTACGTGTTTGTCATGATATATTTCAAATGCATTGAAATACGACAGACAATGGAGTGTGACTGCTGGGAGTAGCTGGCAGGGGGTCGTGGGGTGGCGGCGCCTGCATTGGATGGGCAATGGTGAGTGATGGTGGCAGGTAGGTGCCATCGAAAATCAGGCTTGCATTGGACAGGGAAGGTGAGGTTATTGACTGTAAGTTTTTTCTGAAGGCAGAATTTACTTGAGTTGGACAAAATGGAGTGAACTACATGTTCGGAAAAGATAGTCATTCCTGGATATTCTGAATTCTCTGTTCAAATATTTTGTATTGGGTTCACTTCTAATAAAAAAAATAACAAATTAAAACCCCTAAATATATATTTTTTTTGTTTCAGAATCTTTAATACTTATAACCAAACGACCCCTAAGTGCCTTGCATAGTACTGCAGCATGGATACTAGAAAAGGATATAGTTGGACTTTGTTTGTGTCGTACATTTACTTCTGTTTTTGGAAGTCTTGGAGCACCTTTCCATTATACATAAATGGCGTTGAAGTTCTTGGCATTTTATTTGTTGTTAGGATATGTGTTTGAACAGCATGCATGCATGTAAACAGCAAACTCATTTGTTATGCTAAAGTATAGTGTTGAAGGTACAGACTAAATGTGCCTTTGTCATGTTCGAAATAATCCAAACTGTTTTGTACTCTTCAAAGTTAAATTTGGTTTTTAAGCACAAAATGAAGGGAGCGTTGCTCTTGCCTTTGGCGAAGTCTGGTTTCCTTTTCTTCAAATTCTAATATTTTTTTTAGGGCTACAGAAACTTGTCTTCATGCTAGCTCAGTTTCTGTCATACCTTCTCATTATATTGTGGGCAAGCGACATTGAAGCTTTTGGCATTTTATTTTCTAGTTAGGGATTAATATTCGAATCTCACGCCTCTCTTAAAACAAATCGATTTCTACCTTCTGACATGGAATACTAAGTAGCCGAAAGATAAAAACTTAATATGCCTTAGACACAGCTAAAATAAACCTAGTTTTTTTAAAATATTCAAAATTAAATTTAGTTGCATTCACAAATATTAGTTGAATTGCTGTTGCCTGTTTTTCTTTTTCATCACACATTTTCCCAATTCATAGTTTTTATTTTAATTTTTACAGAAACTTGCATGTTTGCAGTATTCGAAGGCTGCTGGAAAGATAAAGGATGCCATATCTAGTCTCCCTGCTGCCACTGTAGAGGATGATGGGGAGGAATCAGAAATCCTGGGAAAAGCGGAAAATGCTGATTCTGTAGATGTCGTATTGTCAGCTCCTTCAGAATCAGATAAGGAAGCCTTTGATCCTTTTGGATTGGATGCTTTGCTTCTACACGCAGGCAAGAAAAATGAAAAGTCCAGGGGAAAGGAGGTCGCTGCATTAAACAAGAAGGCAGATGAAGAAGAGCATAAAAAATTTGTAAAGGCTCAAAGAGAGGTTTTACTTCTCTGTTTGGAGATAGCTGCACGGCGTTATAAAGTTCCATGGTAAATCCTGGTTTACTCGCTCTCATCCAAGCTTGCATCTTCTTATATATTGATGTAGCGTGCAAGAAAAAATTGCCAACTGTAATGTTCTATTTACACAAGTATCTTCCACTTTCTTTGATGGAATTAACCGTTTTATTTGACTTCTCATTTTTTCTAGTAAGAGTGGATCCATATCCGTGAAATTCTCTCATTCTCATCTATGCTAACATTAGAACGGAGTGGAGGAAGTTACATTGAAGTGATATACTGTGAAGATCACATTAAAGCTGGATCAGGAAGATACTTACATAGGTCAGCACCTTTTGATGCGGTGGACTAGGAACATTTTTTTATAGTTATGAATTAAGTGATGTGCTGAGTGTAGGACAAGTAGTGCTGTACCCTCCCTCCCAAATTGGAGCACTTATTAAACTCCGACTCCGCACGCAGAGTTGCGAGCGGAGTCCAATCCACGTTCGCCACGTGTAATTTTAGGCCCCATCAAAAACACGAGGTAAAATAAATGAATTAGAGCACGTGACCCGACCCAACGGAAACCCGATTCCAGCTCAAGAAGCGAATAAGTGATTTATTGTTCAAAGCTAATCCCGACAAAAGTTTTTTGTCGCATTTCCGCCAGTCCATAAAAGAGGATTTTGTCGCTTTAGGTTTTCTTTGCGCTGGGTTGCAAGCTAGCGCGATTGATTTATCAGGAGACGAAGAAATATTGGTCATGGAATCAGAAAATAATGTCATCCATCTTCTATCAGAAGTGAGTTTACTTTAGTCTTAGTTTGATTTGAGCTTTGCATTGTTGTGTTATGTTGGTTCTAGCTGGTTTTTATTAGGCGTTTAGTTTGTAGTTAGTGTGGTGTTATTTTGGTGTGATGGTGGTGTTTAGGTTTGTTATTTTGATTTAGGGTTTAGGATTTAGTATAGTGTTAGGGCTGTTTTTTTTGGGTGAATTCTAGTGTTATTTTTCTATGTTGACATTATTAGGATGTAATTGTAGTGTTATGGTTTAGGGTTTATAGATTGTATTGTCCTAGTGGTGTTATTGTTTTATTATTATCGTGTTATTGTCGTCTTATTGAGGTATTATGTGATGTTATTGTTTAGTTTTTTGAGTGTTATTGTGGTGTTATTGTTATGGTTTAGGGTTTAGAGATTGTATTGTTCTAGTGGTGTTATTATTGTATTATTGTCGTGTTATTGAGGTGTTATGATGACATTATTGTTTAGTTTTTGAAGTGTTATTGTTATGATTTAGGCTTTAGGGATTGTATTGTTCTAGTGGTGTTATGGTTTAGAAATTGTATTGTTTTAGTGATGTTATTGTTGTATTATTGTCGTGTTATTGAGGTGTTATGGTGATGTTATTGTTTACTTTTTGTAGTGTTATTGTGTTATTGTTATGATTTAGGGTTTAGTGATTGTATTGTTCTAGTGATGTTATTATTGTATTATTATTGTAATATTGCTGTATTTTTGTTGTATTATTGATGTGTTATTGTTGTGTTATTGTGTTGTGGTTATGTAATTGTTGTGTTATGGTGGTGTTATTGCTGTCTTGATATGATTTTGTTATAATTGCGGTGCTGTTAGTGTTTTCATGTTGGTGTTATTGTGGTTTGACCGTTGTGCTCGTGTTGTTAGTGTAGTTTTCCATGATGTTATTGTGGTGTTTGCCTTATATCTATCTGATCATCGTTAAATTGGTTTGGTAATATGCAGTGTGGAAATATGTGCAATTATCCAATCACAGAGACATTTCTTTGCACCGCTGTTCACAATGATCAAAAAGCGTATGAAAGCTAATGTCTATACACATCATATAAGATTTTTGGTTAGGAATGATCATAGCAGCTATTGGCCAAACTCTAAGAATATTATAACCAAAGATGTTTTTTGCGGAAAGGCTGGCCGCAAGGAGTCAAACCTGATAAATACTGTGAAGTTCAGAAAAGCTGACACGAGGACTAGATGTCAAACTCTTAGATATGCCATCGATGTTGAAGGAAATTGGAGAGTGAAAAAATTCATTGAAAGCCATAACCACCATCTTGCCGAAAGTGGTGATAAACATTTTCTGTGTTACAACAGAAATATTAGTTAGTTAAATTTAGATTTGCTAAGATCGATAACAAGATCATGGATCAGAGCAACATATGCATATAACTTTATGACTACAGAGTTTGGGGGCGGGGTGAAGAACTTAGAATGCACGAAGAGAGATGCATACAATTTTATTCAAAGAGAGAGAAGGTAAATAATAGAACAAGTAGATGTTAATTCTCTAATGCAGTTGTTCATGAAGAGACAAACTGAAAATACCATGTTTGCTTGAGATTTTGAAACCGATGAGTGTGGAAGACTCACAAGCTTTTTTTGGAGTGAAGGGCTATCCAGGCTTAATTATGGTTTTTTTGGGGATGTAATAATTTTTTTTACAAGCTTTAGATTAAATAAAAATAATTTATGCCGCGCTCCTTTTGTGGGGGTGAACCACCATTGGCAAAACGTTCTTTTTGGAGTGGGTTTTGTCTAATAAGGCCATTGATTTCACTATTTGATTACTCGAAGCATTTATCTAAATAATGGGCGACAAACATCCAACGACAATTTTCACGGATCAAGATCAAACGATGACGCAAACCATTGAAGATTTTCTTCCACAAACATGACACAGACTATGTCAATGACATATATACAAGAAATTTTCTTCAAAAGTGCATTGTGCTTTAGGTGTAAAGAGTCTGGGCGATCTCTTTTACAAATGCATGAACAAATTTGATTCCGAAGTGGATTTTGAAGAAATTTGGGTCACAATGATTGAGAAGGGGAACCTACACAACAACATGTGGTTAAATGACATGTATAAGATCAGACATAAATGTTCGACATCCTTCAATAAAAAAATATTTGGCATTAGAATATTATCAACACAAAGAAATGAGTCAACAAATATTATGTCACAGCGTTTCAAAGCCTACTAGCTCTTTCGTTGATTGTTTTGTTGGTCTTGAAAATATAATGAAATTATGACACCGGAATAAGAATGATGAAGATTTCAAAAGTGATCAGTTGGTCATTACGCATGTGGTAAAAGACAACCAATCTTGAGGCAAGCTGCCACATTTTATTCGAGAAAACTTTACTCAATGCTTAGCAAAAGCTATTGGATGAGCTGTGGACTTACAATTGAATGTTTTCAGAGAGTGAGTCAGAATATTATGTAAGGAATTTGGATAATCAAGGGATAAACAAACACTGGATTGTAGAACTTGACAAAGTCAATGCTGAGGTCAGTTGCAGTTGCAAAAAAGTTTGAACTGATGGGGCTATTAGTCTCACTCTTTTTATGTGCTTAATGTGGCTCAAATAAAGTTAATTCCTGAAAAATATTTGTTAATGCGATGATCTGCTCAGTCTAAAAAGAACATGTATAACAACTTTGGTTATGAAGATATGAACGAATCTCAAACGAGCACCGAGTTCTGCAAATTTACTATTTCGCTCACACGCTCACAAATTTGCATACCAACTCATTAATAAAATACAAGGAAATGAAACAACTGAACATATGCCTTGGGAATCGTTTAAACATATCTCTGGAGATCTGGATGACGCATTAGCTTGAAAACCAAGTCAAATAAAAAAACAAAGAAGAGAAAAACTTCAAATACACAAATCAATTTGAATGATCCAATAAAGATGAGTTCGAAAGAAGTTTCTAAATCTAGGCTGAAAGGGTATTGGAAGAAACATAAGAGACCAAAAAGTATATATTTCAATAAGCTGCGCTATTTTAATCTATGCATTATTGTGTTTCTCTAACCTAAACCACTGCATGTACGAAAAGATCAAGAAGCATCAACAAGCCAACATTCTGGTATTCCTTGTGAGACAAATTTAATTGAAATGCCAGATTGTCTCAGCAGGTATATAAGTGACTTTAGCATTTGATTTTTATTTCACTTTTAATTTCTCCATTATTGCAGGAATATGATGCATCTCAACCAACAGAAAGATATGTCGGATTGTTGATGAATTCAATATGTGATCTATATTTGTAATATTATTGAGTTAATGTTTTTCATTAACAGTTCTGACATGTTCATTTGTTTCATTAATTTTGATGATTGTTTAATGTAATCATTTTATTAAATGTTTCGATGATTCATTAATTCAATGAGTGATTGGTTAATATATTCAATGATTGATGAGCAGATCAAATGAAACCATAATTATACAACAATAATATAAAAACTCAATACCACAATAATAACACCTTAGCTCAACCAGAATACCACATATTTAACACCTCAACTCACATCAATACCACCTCAATATACTACAATAACACAACAATAATACGAAAATAACACCTCAAAATTTACATTATTTTATTAAATTAATTAAATAAATGTAGTTTTATCATATATTTTATAAATTAACATATATATTAAATATAACATATATATTCTTAATTAAATTAATTAACTATTTTTATATTGTTAAGTTATTATAATATATATTAATAATATAATAATTATAAAATTATATTAACGCGTAAATATTGGAAATAACGCATTAAAACCATCAATTTTAAATATTCAAATATTAGTTAATGTTATAACACGCCGATTTTTTTTTAAAAATGAGGTTAAAATTGCCCCATAACACGTTACATGGTGTTATGTCGCCGCCCGATAATAGTTCCCGTGTTATACTGCCGCCCTATAACACTTCATTAGACCGTTGTATAACACAGAAGGGAATATTTCCAGCGGGTTATAACATCGGCCCGCTGCATAAATGGGGAATATTCCCCACGGGTTATAACGTCTGCTCTATAACACTCCACTAGCCCGCGGTATGACACATGGGAGAATATTGTCTGCGGGTTTGTCGGTCAACTTTTTGAAATTGAATTTAATATAATAAGTATATAGTTTGAGTTTTAAAAGTAGTATGTTTTAATTTTTGAAAAAATGAGACCAAATGTATCTCATTCG